GCGGAAAAGGAGGCAAGGCTGGGGAGCTGTGGCCTCATATCCCCCACACGGAGCTGCTCGGGCGGGCGGGCCAGGAGCACGCTGGTCCTCCTGGCTGCAAGCTGCACCCCGCTCCTAATGATCTTCACCCTTCCATTTAACTTAATACAGCACTCAGCCTTCCTTGGTTTATGCAGACCACATTATGGCTCCTGTTTCTCAAATGCTCTGGCCTTGTCACCTGTGAGACCCAACCTGCAGTCTGGGGCCTCTTGCTGCTTTGAGGGTGTTTATCTGACTTCCCAGCCAGGAGGCGCCTTCTAAGGCTGGAGTATGCAGCCCTTCACCTCTCACTGTGGCCCCACGGGGCAAATTCTCCTCCATTGACGGAGAGCACAGAAATCAAGTTGAAGATTATAATGTAACAGGCTTACACGACTAAAGCAATCTCTTGAGACTCCTTCAGAGACTAAAAAGCAGACTGAATCATTGCTTGAAAACTACTTTCTTAGAGCCTGTTACGAGGAATTTCATGCTAATGACAGCTTCCATAACGTGCAGTAGTCTGTAGCCCAGCATGAGTAATATCCATAGAGGAGAGGACTTTATGAGTGCACAGTTTTCATCCTATCAGTCACAGGAAAGGAAAACAGCAGCCGGAAAAATCCTTCAAAAAAGACAGGATTCACCCAGGGCTCACCTGGAGACTGACATAGAATAGGTTCAGAAGCTGTGATTCACCTTGCTGAACATTTAAAGACATCTCGAGGCTTTGGCAGATCATAGTTTTTGAATGTAAAGTGATTGAACTTTGAGGTATTAGGAAGTCTATTTTTATTTATCGGTGCCATACTACTAAACCCTGTATGTTTTCAATATTTTCAGGAGTTGCATTTTCACACAGACGGCAGAATCTATAGGTTTGCCAGAAGGTGGATGTTGTATGTTTGCTACAGCAAGGTGCTGAGGACTCCTTTTTTAATTCAGTTAGGCTAAAACCGAGAAAGATGCTGTCGCACTTTAAATTCTGCACAGGAAGGACTGATAGAATGATAGAATTTTATTGCTGGAAGAAATTGAGAACAGGTGTTAGAGAAACATTGGACCAGCAAAGAATTTAGATTTATCAGATTTGTATTAGATTTACTTTTTAAGAAAAAGGATAATTAAAGGCGTCATTGGCAGTTCTGAAGAAGAAAGAACCTCATTAGCTTCTAAAACTTTCTAGGGGTTTTAAATGGTACATCACACTTAACTATGGAGTGATAATTTAATCGGACAAAGTTTTATATTACAGTGCATCAGAAGCATGTGGAAAGGGAAGGGTAAAATTAACGTACGGAGGCTTTTCACTTTGGAGATGTAAGGATTTCTTTATGCATTAATTCACTTATTCATTGAAAAATGATTACCAATTATGTTAGACACTGAACATAATGAGCAAATAAAAGTAAGATATCTTTGTCCTCAGTGGGACTGAAGTCTAGTGGGCGAGGCAGGCGATGGTAAGAGAAACCCAAGACGCACCTGGCATTAGGAGTAACATGGCTCGGAGAGCCAGAGACGGGTGAGCAGGACTTGGGAGCACTGAGTTGGAAGACTGACCCAGGCCTGTGAGGGAAGGGAACAGCATTTAGGGCCAAGGCAGAGAGAAGACAGGAATCATCATAGACGGGCAAGCAGGACAGAGTGTGCCCCATGGTGAGGGTGCAGATCTGAAGGCCGAGGAGCTAGCTCAAGGGCTGGCCCCGCCTGTGACCCTGTGAGGGGGTGAAGCTTTAAGAGGTGCAGCTTGCAGAGTGCATGTGGGGGGCCCGGCTCCCTTTCTTCCTTCTGCCCCGAGGGGAGTGATCTGCCTCCCTGTTCGGCCCCGGCAGAGGCCCCGGATGCTGGAGCCAAAGGTTCTGAAACCATGGACCAAAGCTGCCTGTCTTTCATGACTGTCTCATCTTGACTGTCTCAGGTGTTTCGTCACAGCTATGGAAACTTGACTCGTGCAAATGACAGTTAGCTGAGGGAAACAGCAAAACCTGCTTGTTCTGGCTGCTCGGTGACCTTCCCTCTCAGAGAGGAGGATCTTTCCTTTCAGACATGGAGAGTACCAGCAGTTGCGGGCCCTTTGGGACAAGGACCAGACAGCAGGCTCCCTGCTCTGTGGCTTCTTCACCTGGCCAGCTCGCCCCAGAGGGCAGGCAGTGTTTGCGATCCACACTGTGATAGCTAAGCTTTACTATCCCAGACTTACATCCAGCTCAGTGGTAAAAACACACATAAAACATGGATTTGTAATTCACAAGCTAAAAACACAAGTGGCCAGCAGGCCTCAACCACTGGCAAGGTACCATCTGACCAGTAAATAGGGAGTGAAAATAAACATAGAAATAATTTTTTCATCAAATTGGCAGAAATTCAGAGAGTGGAATTGCGGTATTTTGTAAACTATTGGTATTTTTGAAATTGACCTGAAACAGGAATGTTAGTAACTGTCAAGACTGTGCTGATGCATACATCGTCCACCTGCAGCTCCACCTCGGGGTTCCTGTTTTAGGACTGAAGACGTCTTAAAGGACTGAAGAGAGGAAGGCGGAAGAGGCTCTGTCCTCTGCCCACTCTCAGATCAGAGTCTGGGGGCCTCCAAATTAGACTAGGAGAGAAGACGAGCGGGACAAACCCACGCAGGGATACAGGCAGGGGTACAGCGGGTACTCAGGGAGCCTCTCGGTGAGGAGCTTGCGGTGGGACTGGGTGTGTGGACACTGTCACCCAGGGACAGAAGTGGCAAAGTCAAAGAAAGGGATTTTGAGTCTCGAGGGTGGCAGAGTGTGGAAAGCACACAAATCGGGGACTGTGGGAGAGGGGATTGTGAGGTGGGTGGAGAGCTGGATGCCCTCTTGGGCCAAACAGGGCCTGGAGCTGTGTCCAGAAGTCCTCGGTGTCTGTCCTGGTGGAGGGCAGCACCGTCATCACCAGTGTGTGTCCTGTCCTGGCACAGAGGGAAACAGAGGGCCATTCCCTGTTGGCTTCAACACAAAGTCAACCTATACCAAAGTGCTGAGTTTTGAGGGGGCCTCGTCTGCTACTCTGTATAAAAAGTGCATTACAGTATTGCTTTTATCCAAATGAACCAGCTTTGTCGTACCCTCTCAGGGAAATTACTGAGCCTCCCAAAGCCTCATCCTCCACCTCTGTGAATGGAGATGAACGACACCGACTCACCTGATCCTTCGAAGGCTTGAAAGAGATACTGCACAAAGCCGGCCTGCTGGTACCTGTACCCCATCTTACGTGGAAAACAAAAGGGTGGCATGTCTCCCAGCTCCCTTGGGAAGGCTAAAGATGACCTTTGCTGAAGTTTCTCCTACTTCCAGATGTAAGAGCCAGTCAATGTTAGTTTCTTGCTCAAAATGAATGCAAGAGATGTATTTTAGAATATATTATTTGTTCTGATATTAGAACAGGGTTTAACTAATTGTGTGACACATTCAAATAAAATCAGAAATAACAAAAGAGTGACTAGAAATAAATACTGAAACTAATTTGAATATTGCTCCAAATAACAGCCATCACCCATGGAATCCACTGTGTTTGTATGTGTAGAACAGAGACACGGGAGGTGTCTCCTGTGCTAGAAGAGGAAGCCAGTTTCATTAAAAATGGGAATTTGGGCAGAGGGAATGAGAGATGAAAAAGTTGTTCACAAAATGAAAGAAAACGTCAGAACAGGAAGGTACAAAAATACAAGTGTCAATATAGCAAAATACTTAGTGGATCTGGACTTCAGTGTGCGCTCCTCTCACTAGCTGGGTCCCCGACAAGTTACTGGGCCTCTTTCTCACTCTCCTGTCCACGAGGCCCTTAGCTTCAGAATGGTTGTGATGACAGAATGGTATGATGTATGTACGTGTGTAGGACATGGCCTGAGTCACTGTAGATGCCGAGTGTGAGCTATTGTTATTACAACAGGCATGGGCGATGGAGGGAGCTGTGATTCCCTTTCCTGAATATCCAAGACTGGGCACATGTTATAAATACACAAAACACTCTCAAGTTAGAGTTAATGGTGGAACTCATGGGTAATATTTTAAAACAAACATTACCTGCTTTCAACATGGGAATAGAAGACACAGTAAGACCCAAAGGCACTGCAGAGACCCCGGGCCATCGAAAGGAAGGAGCAGGCGGAAAGGACCGTCTGTAGAAAACGTCCGTGACTCCGATTCCCCTTAGCAGTGGTAGTGGTGATGGAGTCAGGACCACCAAGCCTCGAGCTCCAGCCCATGTGGCTTGTCAGCTGTTATTTGCACTTTCCTGCCATGTCCCTGTTTGTAAGGTGAAGGTTCGGTGTGGCTGGCAGCCTCCTCGAAAGACAGTGAACATTTTAGGCTCTGTGGTCCACATTCTGCTGTGGCACAAAGCAGCTAGAGCAGAGCTGAACGTGCCTGGCTGTGTTCTAATACACCCAGGCTGGCCTCAAACCTGCCAGTGTCCTGTCTCAGTCTCTGGAGTGTGTGGAGTGGCAGCTGGGTGCCACCATGCCCAGTTGAAACAGCCGAGTCTGTGGCCCGAAGTGTCAGAATATAATGTTCATTTCACGGCTCGGCACTTCTCTGGCTGACTTCCGGCCACCACTCCCTAACCCACACTTCACGGGGTGGAACTCAGACCCTAACTTCTTACTGATTGGGTCAATTTCTACACATCCTTAACCCCTGGTCCTGATGGGCGTTTCCTTCAGATCTGCTCCAAGCTGCATCCTGATGGAAAGTTCCCTCTGTAGAGGGCGGCCCCATACCGTACCAAGGAAGGGGTGGAGGTGAGGGGCTGTTAGGACCTGTGGGGTTCCAGGCCCCCCATCCGCCTGGCAGAGTACGTGCAGCACCTGACCTGAGCTGAGTGGGGCAGGCCCTAAACAGTGTCACCAGTGAACAGCTGCTTCTGAAGTATAGGATGCTTTGGGGGTGACCATGGCCTATCCTCTCTGCTTTTTTAAAACAAAAAAGAATTAAAATGATGATACAGAATTTCTTTTTTAAAATTTTTTATTTTAAAGAGATTAAGACAAAAGAGGACATAATAAAGTAGATCAATACAGAACAATTTAAGCAACACAGTATTTCACCACAAGACAATTCGATATAACAGTAGCTACAATAATGTCTCCTTTGAAATAGCTGAGCATACCTTCAGATGATACAAAATTTCAAAACAAAATAATAGGAGATTAATATACTAGTTAATATATTATATATTGTTATCTTCAAAGTTGTTGTTAGATTACCAGATATAGGCATGAAAAATGTTCAAACAATTGAGCAATGAATTCCTGTATATCTCTTTGAATCTGTTTCATGTATTGTTTGTTTCCTAAATTGTTCATCCAGGGATTCTATCTTTCTGTTTTGTCCCTCTAATTTTTTAACTGTGTCTTCTTTAGAGTTGTTCAGCATCTCTCTCATTACTTTTATCACTTCTTTTACCTGGGAGATTATTTCTAGTCTGAATTCCTTTAAAGCTTCCCAGAGTTGCTTCTTTATTTCAGTTGCTATTGTTGCAGGTATTTCAGGTGTATGGCATATATTTTCTTCTATGGACATGGCTCCTAGTCTTTCTTGGGATGGGCTGGAGGTCTGAGATTGCATTTTGGTCTTTCGTTTTGTCATTTTCCTGTATTTCCGTAAGACCAATGCCCTGGAGCTCACTTCACATGCTCCCTGTAACTGGAGAAGGTCGCTGGGCGTAATATATTCGGTCCACAAAACCTCCCAAGGCTAGTGTAGTGTGGCTGGGAGCTGGGTGCGTCCTTGAGCTCTGGCAGCAATGATCTTAAAGTCTCCTGGGCGGGCGGGGGGGGGGGGGCTCAGGATGGTTGGGACTCAAGGCAGCCGCCAGCTGAGTTTCCCAGTTTGTACGAGCACAGCCTAGTGTAGCTGGGATCTCCATTGAACAATGAAAACACAAACTTCTTTTTAATGAACTAACAGATTAGTAGATAGCTATCTATTTTGTAATATATATATATATATATATATTTATAACTATATTTGCAAACATACAGTCTGTTCCTTTCTCTCCTCCTTTCCCCTACTTCAGTTGTTCTTTCTTTTTGAGCAGTGTCTTTCTGTTTCTTCCCAATACCTATTTTATGCTTTGGATCTTACTCTTTCAGTCTCTTTTTTATCGGTACTGAGGATTGAACTCACGACCGTGCTTGTAAGGCAGGCGCTTATGCCGTGGAGCTAAACGCCCAGCTCTCTCTTTCAGTTTGTTATGCCAGGGAGACAATACGTATTTACACATGTGAGTCTGATTTATTTCACTATGAGTATGGTCTCAAGTTGCATCCATTAACCTATGAAAGCCTCAAGTGTATTCTTCATACCTGAGTATAAAAATGTATAAAAATACCACTCCAGGACTGGGGAGTGGCAGCTCAGTGGCATAAGTGCCTGCCTTGCAAGTACGCAGTCGTGAGTTCAATCCCTGGTACCGACATAGAGGAAAAAGACAAAAAAACAAAAAAACAAACAAACAAAAACACTCCACTGTATAAAAATACCACATCTTTTTTATCCATTTCTCAATTAATGGGTATTTGGGTTGTTTCTGAGATTTAGTTATTACAAGCTGTGCTGCTATAAACATGGATGCACATATACTGCTGTGGTATGATGTTTTCAATTCTTCTGGAAAAATACCCAAGAGGGGAATAGCTGGATTGAATGGGACTTCCAATCCTAGTTTTTTGAAGCATCTTCACACTGATTTCCACAGTGGTTGCACCAGTCTATACTCACGCCAACAGTGGAGCAGTGTTCCTTTATCCCCACAGCTCCGCCAGCATTTGTTATTGTTTGATTTCTTGATGGCAACCATTGTTCTGGAGTGAGATGGAATCTGAACATTGTTTTAATTTGCATTTCTCAAATTCCCAGTGATGGTGAATATTTCTTCATGTATTTATTTGCCATTTGTATTTCTTCATTTGGGAAGTGCATGTTCATCTCAAATGCCCAGTTTTGGATTGGGTTTTTTAAATTTGGGGGCCTGATTTTTTTCAATTCTTTGTATGTTCTAGATATAAGTCTCTGTCTGAGGGACAGTTCGCTAATTTTTTTTCCCATTATGTGAGTTTTTTTTTCACTTTGCTGGTGATTGGGCTGTGTTTTTATCTGCTAGCAAATAATTTAAGACAAGGAGCACTTGTTTAAAAACAGTTGGCTTTGAGAATCGAAGGAAAGATGGAACTCAAAGTGTACAGTTTTAGTCACAGTATTACAATCATAGTGCGCGATTTCAGTGAAGAGTTTCTGGGCTGGTATCTCAGGAGAAAAGCATTTTACAGTATAAAAATGCAAATTTTCATTTCCAAGTTTTTGCAATGTACAAAATCGCTTTTCTCTTGAGTCTCTCAACACACATGGATCTGCTTAGGTCTGAGTGAAAGATGATAGCATTCAGCTCCCCCATGCCCCACACAAACAGGCTGTAGGCAATGGTAACAGCAGTTTAGATCCAGAATGATTCTCTGAGGACAGTTACAGTAACACTGCTGTGGGCCTCTGGGGCCTGAGGACAGACCCTGGCCACTGGGAGGTGACCAGACACTTGTGGGCAGGCTAACCCTAACCCTAACCCTAAGGGCCTGCCCCAAATTGCACAGTCAGACCCAGGAGTAAGAGAGGGCTCCCTCAGCCACTTGTCATCTGGGGCCAGGGCTGCAGGTAAACCTATCCTGCATGCCGTGTCCATCAGAGGCGGCCACCCAGGAAGCTTTTCTAGGGCTCCCTCCCAACCGTGGAGATGCTATCTTGCTTCCTGGGGTGGACTAGACACACAGCAACCTGGAGAGGACTTCTCATAGCTAAACCTTCTCCTCGGGGAGTGGGGATGTGGAAGACATGGGAGGACATGAGGTCCTCCGCAGAAGCTGAAGCTGAGGCCCTCCTGGCCTGTGGGTAGGGCCTCAGCCCTGACTGCAAGAGCTGCATGTGCAGAGGGCCAGCACAGGGTCTCAGGCTCTCAGGATCCCCTAAAACCTAGACATGGTGAGTGCTGTGCTTCTCCTCTGTCCCCTCTTCCCTCCCTCCTGCTTCTTATGGGGCTTATGGCCCAACAGGAAGCAAGATGACCTTTCTGAGCTCCACCATGGCACCTTGTTTTACACACCTGTTTGATACCAACATGGGGCCACACACATCACATGGGACCATGCACATCCTCATTCTCATGTGGCATCTGAAGCATCTGGGAGGGGTCCCCCATTTTCTGTTTTGTTCTCACCCATGTTTCTCTAGGCCTCCACCACAAGACATTTGCTAGAGGCTTCTTTACCATTCTGTGCTCTCTGCTGGGGATCGTGGGATGCTGTTTAGCCATCACTTACTGAGCATTTGTTATGTGCCACACACCGCTGTGAGGAGACCACCTACATTCCTTTTTCTGGTGTACTGTTACCTGATTTCTGTTTTCTCTGTCACTCCTCCAGTTATTTACTACTGTCTCCACATTCAGATAAGCTACCGGAGAGCGAGAACATCCGGAGAGCTAGATAGCCCTCAGCTTTGACCTCGACGCCTGGTCCCTATTAGTAGACAGCTTTGCTGCCTGGGGCTGCAGATGGCCGATTCTCATTTCTTTTCACTGCCCTTGTCGTGGGCCCCCATCATTCACTTCCTGTCAAATGTGTACTCAGCTGATGCGATGTGCAGTTCTTCTGAACTTGCCTCTCTGCGGTGGTTCTGACAGAGTGTACCGAAGCCCCGCATCCTCCGCATGTTCAGGATTTTTTCCCCAGACTTTCAGAGGGAGACAAAACAGCTGGCCGATTCCCCCAAGCCTTCCTTGATTTAGATCTTTTCTCGAGTGTGTCTTATTCCCCCATCACACAACCCTTAGGGCAAATTTCAATTTCTTCTATAGTGAGATGCTACCCAAACATAAATATTACATTTCTGAATGGCCTTGAGTAGCCCCTCATTTTTCTCCCAAGGTTAATCCATTTACTTCTTAGACTAATTCACTAGGAAGTTGTGGGTTGTTGCTCAGGATGCTTCTTCCAATATACAAAATAGTGTTTTGTAATGGTGGTTTGAAAGCTAGGCATTTCAGAGTAAAAACATTTTAAAATTTCTTTATCTTAGCCTTCAGGATATGAAGAGCTAGCTCTGCTCTGGTTTTCACAAGGATTTGCTTCAGGAAAGTCCTGATCTGACAGACAGAAGAAGGGTTCCCTGTGGAGGACAAGCAGAGGTGTGTGAGCAGGTGGCTTCAAGAGAGGACAGGCACACAGTCACCTCTGGCCATACTCAGGGCTCATGGAGATGGCACAGAGCTCACGCAGACCCTTATGGGATGCAGAGAACCCAGGAGCACCGTGGCATTGACTGTAACTAGCTATGCAATCTGGATTTGGTGCAAGAGGACCCAGAAAGGGAAGCTCAGGAGCCAAAGGTTTCATGGTCAGTGGCAGTAGAAAATTTAGTTATCAAAAAGTTACATAAGATTCATTGCATCTTGGTATTTACTAGTCTGAGGAGTCCTGAGGTCAGCGACATCACAGCAGAAAGTGGCGTGATCCGAGGAACATAGTCATAGTTTTCTTATGATGTCAGAGGAGCTGGGATTGCATATTACAGCAGTATGGAAAGAAGTAAAAGAAGGACAAATCTAGTTGAGAAACAAAGCAACTGTAGTTGTTTAAACAACTTAAGCTCACTACAGGAAAAATAGTAAGGAAATATTCACAAAAGAACAGCACTCAAGGGCCAGGGCCTTAGATCAGCGGCACAAGCGTGTACCTGGCAAGTGCAAGGTCATAAATTCAATCCCCAGGACCGAGAAGGAAAGGAAAGGAAAGAAAAGAAAAGGAAGGAAAGGAAAGGAAAAGAAAAGAACAATGCTCACATTCCCATTCAGTCATAGGTAACAGCAGATCAGCCCACAGCTTTCCTCCTCCTCCTCATCCTTCTCTGTCTCTGTCTCTGTCTCTGTCTCTCTCTCTCTCTCTCTCTCTCTCTCTCTCTCTCTGTCTCTCTCTCTCTCTCTCTCTCTCTCTCTCTCTCTCTCTCAGTCTCTCTGTCTGTCTGTCTCTCTCTCTCCTCCTTCTTCTAGCTCCTGACTGCTGGGAGATGAGTAACTCCTGCATCACACCCTTTAGCCACGATCTTTCTGGCTAAGACTCAAACATATGAGCATAAGTGCATAAATTCTAAGGGTGCAGTGCGAGCCCTTCATGAAACTAACTCTGAGATCACAAAACAGACCATAACCAGGAGCCGTGTGTCTCCATTTACCCTCCTCCTCATTGTTACCCGCTCCCCAGACTAACCATTGTTGCGACTTGTCAGCCTTAGGTTAGTCTCAATAGTATCCCTTCCGCCTTAGGGAAATGGAACCACAGGTTAAGAAGCCTTTGGTTGCGGCCACTTCTGCTTCTTCATTCCTGTGGCTGGTAACAGTCCCCTGCATGGCATTTGCAGGTTATTTCTGCATTCTGCCACTGACAGACATTTTGAGGAGCTTCCAGACTGGTACATGTGTGGACACATCTGTTGGAGGGGCATGCCTGGGTCAAAAAATATTGTTAAGATACAGGGCGAGCTCTTGTCGCAGTGGCAGCGGTGGGTGGCACCAGCTTGTAGTGCTACTTGTCATCATCTGCAACCTCACCGATACCTGTGATTCCTCTCTGTCACTTCTGAGCCAGTATGATAAGTGTGTAGTGGGTCCCGTTGCACTTCCCTGGTGACCAGACCACACATCTTTCCATATGTTTACTGACAGTATGTGGCTTGGCATGGAGTACCATTCACAGTTTTGCTCAATTAAAAACAATGTGACGTCATCGTGAAATTACACTGTAGAGTTGGAAGACACTTAGATGACTTCATCAGAGACCATTTAGGTTTGATTAGAAGGCCTGGGCCACGTGCCCAGAACGGCTGTCAGGAGAAGGCTGGAGATCCAGTCGGGCTGCCCCTCAGCTGCCCTTCAGAAGGCCTTTGCTGTTCTCTCACTGCCTGCAGGGCTTTCTCCTCCTGGCTCTCTGGTTTCGTAGCCTCCCAGGAGCCCTCTCTCACTGTGTGCTCTGGGGAAGAAAGGCTAGAGCGGGAACAGCGGCACTTTAATACCACATCTATGTGTCTTTACGCTTTGTTGACGGGAGCACATTTATGAGTTTTTGATGCTCAGACAATGGGCCTAGAAGTTAATTTCAAAGCAGAGAGAGAAGAGGATTTCTCTGAATTACAAGTGAAAAACTTCTGTGCTGGAACAGGAAAAGACTCAATCCTGTGTAGAGTACGGCTACAAGGTAGAGCAAAAAGACGGGGCAGCCATGCGGTGCAGCCAGCTAGAAATCCCCAGTGGAAGGGACGTGAGTGGCTTTCTACGTTTTATAAACAATATAATTACATGGCTCAAAATCAAAATCAAAATATAAAGGAATATACTCTAAAATCTTGGCCCAATTTTTGTCCCTCTGTGCCTTATTCCACAATCCTGCCTGTAGAAAATTTCTCATCTAGTCTTTTTGGTCTCCTTCTAGTGTTTGTTTACGCAAGAACAAACTGAAATAAATTTAAGTCACTGCTCCGGCTTCAAAAACTGTTTTACTAATGATGCATAAGCTTTAATTTGCATTTGTCTGAGCTGCGAGGAAATCTTCACAGTTTGGTAAAACTGCTTTTCACTGCAATCTTCCGTGAAGAACAGCTGAGCACCGTGTGTGTGTGTGTGTGTGTGTGTGTGTGTGTGTGTGTGTGTGTAGGGGTTGGGGTGGAACTGACATTCCTGGATTCCCAGTGGAGCTGAGGCTGAGTGCAACAGTAGTGTGTATGGGGTAGAGAGAAAATTTATGCTGTGAATTAACTGAGCAGAAGCAAAATAAGGCGAGACATGGATGTGAGCGTATAAACTCATCAAGAATTGATAGGAGGTGTATTAGATAATTCATGCAGTATGTATTGGCGTGGAGTCCATTGCATTTAGTCCCTAAGGCTCAGTTGATACCTGAATTATATGTTCCTGCTTTAACTACCACATAATACTCAATGAACTAACATGCTGGGACGTGGTGGTAAATCATTGTCCTGATCACTGTGAGAAGCTCAGATTCTTTCTAAAAGCAAATAAGGAGACATGAAAAGTTTCTTCAAATGGGAGCGAAACAAACAAAACTGTATTTGCAGGAGTTTGCTGTGTTTTGGCCCATAGCCCACAGTTGGGACTGGGAGCGGTGTCTTGGGGTCAGCCCTGTAGGGTGACCAGGCCAGCCTCCCCTGTCCCCCTCTCAAGGCAGCTCAGAACTCGAGGTCCCTTCTCCATCAGATCTAAAAAGGAGCCAGGCAGGGAAATAAGGTGGAAGCCAGGGGCTTAGGCTGCCGTATCTTAGAAGTGTCATCCTGTCACAGCTCTGTGCTTTGGTAGTGTGGGGTAGGTTCCTGTCGCATGTGCTGCATTTTATTGTCATGAGATGAGTTTGTATCGCATATGCTGCATTTCATTCATGTGCAGTGGGGCCCTGTCACATGCGCTGTGTTTCACGCACGTGGAGTGGTTTCCTCACTTGGTCACACCCCCAGGTCTCAGAGACTCTGAGTTCAAGTGGGAGCTAATTCCACTCTTCTGGTTGCTTTCAGGGTCCCGTGAGAAATCGACTGAAAATTCTTAATCAGAGTAGACACTCGGGCAGTATGGCTGCATGTGGCTTTCCTGGATATCCCCCAAAGCAAACTTGAAAATATCCTCTGTCCATGTCTCTTTATGACCATCGCGTAAGTGTACTCCTATTATGTTACTATGTTTACTCAGCAACTGCCATATAGCCCACATCTGGACATCGGTAGTGCTCAAGGTTGTTCTGTACACACAGGCTGATGTCTTAACCGTGTCATTCAGATAAGGGTACCCAGACCTCCAGACTTGCTAATTTATTCTTCCTGTGCATGATTAGTGTTGTTTTTCTGACTCTCTGCCTTGCCCTTCTGCATGCTGTAGCTAGAATTTTATTTTTACTAGCTTAGTTTTCTATTGTACAGGAAGAGGGGTTAAGAAACAGAGAAGGACTAAACTATACTGAAGACTGGAGTTTGGACCTTTTCTTTTCTATTACCCAGCATTCTCCTTCATGTTTCTTGCCGTGGGCCCCTGCAGAGAGACAGGCTGAGAGAGATGGAAGGTGCCACCATCCTGTGCAACTTGCAGGTGTGAGCTTGGGGCACTGTCATGTTGTCTTCCTGCCTGGGCACCCCCTGCGGAGCATGGGTGGATGGACAGCTTGAGAAGGGTGACGCTGTGTACCCTGCCCCCTAAGTGCTGAGAAGGGTCATGTGCCAGATGGCGTCACCTTCCCCATCTCTAGACTAATGCTTCCAATATCAGCTCTACCTTCCTCCCATTTTCCATTTTCAAATAATTGTACTGAACTTAAGAGATTTGGGTTAAACAGAGAGAAATTATTTAATATATGAAATATATTTGAAGTGGAAGCTGGTATTTATATAACTTTTCTTCTTCATGTGCCCTGAATCTCGAGCATCGCAAAAATCTATGAAGTTTGGAATTTCACACGTAGATTTGCTAAACCTTGTTTCAGCAATGCTGCATCTTTGTAATTGTTAATTGCTGACATTAATTAAATGCTTGAACAACCCAGGCACTGCATGTTACATTTATCAACTTACCCAGTCTTCACCATAGCCCAGCCAGGCAGGTTCTGGGACACTTTCCTAGTTGAGAGAACTGAGTCACTCACGGTCTTCTTGGAGACTAGAAATGAGCAGAGGGCACTGGTTTACAGGCGCCCGGTAGCAGAGCCCTCATCAGGCTCCAAATAAGTTTTCAACATGTAGTTTTCCAAATTCTTGGCCTCTTCTTAAAACATAGACTTCTGAGCCCCTTTCCTGATCTACTGAATCAGAGAGTGTGGATTGAAATTTTAGCAAGGATTTCATATTGTTCTAATACTTGCAAAAGTTTAAAAACCACTGTGTGAAGTACCACACAGCCTCACATTGGCCAAGGCTCAGCAACCATTAGATACCTGGTCCTGTGTAATTTCTCTCATCACCAGGACGTGGCATGTCCCTCTCAAGGCTCGGCTGTGCAGTCTCTAGTTCCAAAGACCTTAGTTTAACTGAGGCAGCAGCACACAGCCTGGCTATCCTGAGTCAGTTCTCATTTTAGGTTCAGGGCCCCTACAGAAACTCGTGTTTTGTTTCTGAGACCTTACCTTCTAATGGATTGATCTCTTTGCTTGTCTGGTTTGGAGGAACTTTCTAAGGAGCCGTTCTTCTGGCAAGGAGCTGGAAGGGATGGATCTATGTGAAGAGATGCCTGTCCAGAGCTCGCAGGCCAGCCTCCCAAAGAAAATATGTCTTCTTCATTCTGTGCCTGCCTTCAACAAAGCGTTGGCCCATGAAGGCATAATACAGTGCAAGACCATGTATGGTTCAGTTCCAAAGGAAACAGAATGAAACTGTCCCCGTAGCCTCCAGGTGCAGGGCTAACTCCACGGCCACTGGTCAGTGTGGAAGCCAAGACTAGAAAGAACATCTGAAATGAGCACAGTACTGAGGAGGTATCTGTAGGGGGAGAGAGCTGAGCATTTGTTAGCCAGGAAGATACAGGCTGGAAGGAAATATAAGTTAAATTTTTAATTCTGTGGGTCATGGATAAGTAAGAATGGAATTCATCTGACGCCACTGTGAATGCTATGTATCTGACTATACGGTTTTTGTGGATGTCTCATCTATATTTGCGTGATAAAGTATCCACATCAAAAACTAAATGTACTTTTAAAAGTCATACAGAAATGGCAGGTTGCAAGTGTAAAGACATATATGCAAATCTTAGAATGGTCATAAGCTTCCAGGAAGATGACACAAACAGGTAAAGTCCGCCTCTGATTAACTACCCTTTTGATTTAGGGTCTCAGCCAGTACCACAGAGAGAATTCCCATACTCCTGTGATGTTGTATTCAAATCTGCTTTCTCACTAAGGCTCTCACTCGTCTCTTGCCTGCTCCAGTCTGTTCTCCTCAAGGCAGATGGCTGCTCATTCAACGCTGCCAATAAACAGTGCAGCCTTTGCTGAGCCCTCCCGCGGCCTCTCCTTGCCCTGACTCTGACTTCGCAGGCCCTGCATTCCAGGCTCTACTCTAACTCCATCCCTGCCCTGTTCCCTCTCCCCCTACCCCTTCCCCGCTGAGGCCCTGGCTCTCCTCTCCAGGGGATGGAGTGACTCTCACCCCTGCGGATCTCCCACAGGCCGGCACAAGCCGGGTGTTACTCCCTGTGATTCTCTGTGCAGCATCTACAATGCATCTAAAATAGTGTGGTTTTCTTACTTGATTATTGTCCGTTTACAGCCCTCGCCCACACACTTCAAGGGTCCCACCCCTCACTGTCCCTACACCCAGCACAGCACCTGGCATCTGTGATCATCATCGGTGCTGTTAGAGTACAGGATGAGACAGCACTGACAGCCGATCTGCTGGGTGTGTCCCTGCACACTCCCACAGCCAAGACCACTCACGCGCTCTCCCTTCACGATCTTCCCCCTCGGTCACCATGCCATCTTCCTCCTGCTTTGTCTGTGGCTTGAACTAGCTAAAGCCGCTCACAGAGAGAGCCGGAGGCAGGTTCAGTCTCCTCTTAGCTCTTCCCTGAACTGCTGTTTGATTTTAACTGCCGCTCTCTCCCTGCCTCAGTTTCCCCTTCAGCACAGTGAGCATGCATTTTCTGTTCGGTGAAGATGTTTACCATATTCAGCTCGATGGAGTGTTTCTGTTTGCAATATTATAAGTGTGCAATAGAAGTGCTGAGTGCAGGAAAGTGCGAAGTCGGCAGCACTATTAATAGTGCGGAGTGTGGCCCTGAGACCAGGAGGAGACTCAGATCCAGCCTTCGAGCCACTAGGAGCCCTGCTGCTTTCCCGGCAAACGGTGCTTGCTGTGGATTCCTGTGCGCGTGGCCACTGTTCAGCTTGCGGGGACCCAACAAAAACACAACCGACAAACAGGGAACTTCACTTACCAAATTACTTTCTGTTATATTACTTTGATAACTTCATTTTCTGACTACATGAGAAGATAACTGCTCAGGAATTTTATTATATGCTTTTATATTAAAATGTTAAAGTTTTTTCACTTATATTTTTCTTATATACATTTATTACTGGGATAATTTTTACATAATAATTAAATACTAGAATAAAAATCAAGGTTTGAGAGAATGCTTACTGTGGCAGCTTTGAAATTTGGGAGCCAAGAAAGTAAATATTAAGAAAAGATCCTTTAATTTTAATAAAACTCCACTTTCTGAGGAATGAGACAAGCAGGTTTACCGAGCATAATTTACATTTGACAATAGGGGTTTATTAATCGTCATTAATGTCCAAACTGAGTACACATATAAATTGCGTAATCTTGAGTCCAAACCCGTCGCCTGAAAACCAGAAGGGCTTTTGTGGTAAACTCACTGGCAGCAAAAGCAAATCTCAAAATATAAGCAGCTGCTAGCGGTCTTGCCCCATCTCACCATGAGCAGCCATACACTTTACTGAAGAAATATTAATGCGCTTGATTGTAGGTTGTTTGAGTTCAGTAGCACAGGCCACATGTGACCCTGAGGTTTTCAGATAGGGAATTGAGAACTTGCATCATGAAATCATAAATAAATGAGCTGTAAGTTACCTAAGAGTAACATACTCCAACCTCCTTGTTTTATGACTGAAGGCTGTGGTTCCAGGAGGATAGGGGCCTGCCGAGGGCCTTCCTACACCAGTAGCAGCAGAGGTGGAAATAGACTCCAGCCCCAGGTGCTCTGGGCCACTCCCCTGCACAGCCCTCCCGGGGCTTCCTGTCAAATCCACCAACTGCTCACCACTGTGTCCTGGATCCGGACTGCTGGCTGCTCCACTGCAGAAGTACACGCAAAGCTGTGCGTGCTCCTGCTTTTGACAGATATAGTGTCCCTCTCCTCTTCCCAGATGGACCTGTGAACCCACCCACTGACCAGCACAATCTTCTCTGGCTGGCTCGGTTCTTAGTGTGTTATCTGTGCTACAGAAGTGAATCTTAACCTACATCTTAACCCTTGATTTGCTTTACCTTTTGGCAGTTTCTATCAACCACATTTCAGAATTGATATTTTCACCAGGGATATACAAGGTTTCTCCTGTGTGCCCAGGATTGTGAACAGACTGGATCAGCGATTTTCAACTAGGGACAACGTGTGCTGCAGGGACCGGGGGACTGAGACACATCTCACCTGGGAGTGTGCAAATGGGATTTAGCAGGAGGAGGCTGAGTCCTGAAAAACCACCAAGGGCAGAAGGACAGGAGCACTAAAGACTGAGAAACCCAGGGCTGCATAGACACTGTCATCCTCTTCTTCAGAGCCGACGCACTCTGAGAGGCAGTACCCTAATATCCACGCAGGCAGGGGGAGTATTAACTCAGCTCCGAAACCTCAGGGTCGGAAGATAAAGCTCAACACTTTCTGTATGGCTTTGAAAAGTGATTTGAGAAGAGGAAAAGGCAAAAAAATCTATGTATACACAAGACAGTTAAGACAGATACAGCTAGCTTCTCTCAGTTCCCTGAAAAGAAAGTTCTGCGCTACTATTCTTAGGAGAAGATATCATTCCTATATCTTGTACACCATGTATCAACTATTGTAAGGATCCAACCAAGCTGCTTTGAAACTCAGTTTCATTGTTATACCTATCTTCTCTTCCTATGTTAAAATGAAACAAAAAAGTGATTTGAGCGTGGGAGCCTCAGTTTCCTTTTGGTCAGGATAATTAGCCTGGCAGTTGATAATTAGCCTAATCATTTCATTGAACACTGCATCAAATGAGACAGCAAAGCATGTGCAATACTTTGAGGAGAGTGAACACCACATAAAGATAAAGGCCTATTTCATCATTCTTCATAACACTGTCTTCTACCAAGCACTGACAGACACAGTGCCATTTGTCCTTGTGTCAACCTGGTGTGGAATTGGGCAGAAGGGCCCATGCTCACGTGCACGTCGCCACCTGCTGGTAACCCGTGCCAAGTACCCATGCCACCTTTGATCCTTTCCCGTGTCTTCCAATCTGTCAGAGTCCAGGGGAAGCTAAATGTTTTCTTGAAAAGGAGTTAAATGCAGGAATAAAAATTCTGAAACAGTGTTTAAGTATGTTACATTATCTCCTGATTCTCCTTCATCTTGCACTCCTGCTCATTGTCTGTGAGACCATAAATTCCCGGGGGCTCAGCACCAAGTCTGTTGTTTCCGGACCCTCACCCCGAGTCCGGGTGTAAATAGACATAGAGCCCAGCAGATCTGAGCAAAGATGTGTGAGTCATCGGCTGAGCCTGGAGGAGGAGTTCCATGTCCTACTGCGCTAGTGTTCCTCTGTCCCTTAAGTCTGCACAGGACTTCTGGAGGGTCTCTGGAAAAGCTACCTGGGCAACATGAGCTCACTGGCTAAACCCAGAGTATCTGCCCTCGATGCCAGTCTTTGTGTGTAGTGTTTTGCTTCATGCACTTGATTTCTAGTTACATGGAAAGTTTGCCATGGCTTAACCAGTCACTCCCTGAAAGACGTTCTGCTTAGGTTATCCCCATTCCAGGACAGTTAAAATACCTTTTTATTTATAACATGTTTTAAGGTGTACCTCTTCCAATGTGTCCCATGACCTGTGTGGGACAGGTCTATGTGTGTAGATGCAATCACTGTCATTGGAATGTGTCCCCAAAGTTCTTGTATTGGAAAATGAATCCCCTGAGCAGCTGCACCGGAGGTGGCCTTCAACTGGGTTTGGTTCTCAGGGCTTTGCTCTCTTGGGAGCAGTGAAGCCTCTGTCATGGGAGGGGTTGCGTCCAAGATAAAGGATAGTGTGGACCCTGCTTCTGCCTTCTGTCCTTCTGCCATCAGATGACACGACAAGGAGCATCTATCAGACCAGCCCCCTGCCCTTGGACCCTCTAGCCTCCAGAATGACAGGAAAACAGCTTCCGTCTTTAAGGTGTTCTCTTGACAGATTTGGCTTCTAAATCTTCTCTCTTTGTGCATCTGGTTCTGGGGGAGGGCCCATCTGTGACAGCACAGCCAAAATGGGCCCCCTGAACTGTTCTGGCAGACTTTCTGGGAGAAACCTGTTTCTGACCAGAGCTTCCCTCTCCTTCCTCTCCCTGAGCTCCATCTGCTGTGCTGCGGCTCCTCAGCAGGAGGGACAGCCAGAGCCAGGGCAGGACAAGCTCTTGAGGCCTCCAGCAAGCCGACCTAGGCTTTCTCTGTGCTGTGTCAGGATGTTATCAATTGGATTCATTTCTGTTCTGGGCACACAGGACAGTCAATGAAAGAGGAAGCGTGTGCCCCTACCTCCTACGTGACCGACCGCTGGCGGGGTGAATGTTCAGCTGTCCTGTGTGCTGCAGCTGACGGCACAGCAGGCTGAGCCACGCTGCTGTCAACGCATGTGTGTGTGGGGTGCAGCCTGCGGAGACAGCGACACACACAGCACACAGAGGTGACCACCTCAGCTGCTCAGTGCCCCAGGAGTGCAGTGGCAGTCACCGTGTGGAGCTGTGACTGAGCAGCTGCAGATGCTCACCCTGCTGAGTCACTGGCCTTGGCAGGACCTGCTGGCCAGGCCGGAAGCAGGGGACACAGGCAGAAAGGAGCTGCTTCTGAAACCCTTTCTGAGTCCCTTTCTGACACTCTAGCCCTCTCTGCTCAGTGTATGCACTCCGAGATGGAGGTGGAGACCATGCTGGGAAACAGGTTTGTTCAGAAACAACTAGGTGACCGTGGGAGTAGTCTTCAGGGAGCAGCAGGAGGAGGCGACGCTCTGTCCTCAGCCTCCACCATTCAGGACAGGCAGGCACCCGTGTGCACACATTTACTCCACACACACGCCATACATGCACATCACACACCACACATTCACACGCGTACCACACAGGCACCACAGACATGCGTGGTCACACACCACAACACACGCACGCGAGCACTGCACACTGCCTCAGGGAATCTGCAAGAGCCCAACCTCAGATGTGTGCTAACACAGACCGAGCAGGCAGCACCCACGAAGCACCAGGGCCCACATCTGTGCTTCCCCTGCTCAGGTTACCTCGGGGCCCTGGAGGTGGCTCCCCAGGAAGCTCTGCCAGCACCCACATGGGCCCGGATGCCAGCCTGCTGCGCTGGAAAGACTTCACATCCTGTGAGTGAGCTGGGGTTTCCGCCAAAAGGCTGTGATAGGAGGGAATAGCACATCCGGAGGCAGCTGCTTGGGCTCCAAAACAGCAGCTCCCTGCACTGTCTCTGTCACCAGCAGGCCGGCTCCGCACACAAGGCCTGCACATCGAGTATCTTCCTCTGTTGCCAGTAGGAGCAGCCTGGCTCTTTGGGGACAGTGAATGATCATTGCATGTCTTGGACATGAACAATAACCCTCAGGCCAGGGTAGCTCTAAAATCAGGAAAAATGTCCTTGGACAGAAGTGGCGAACCTGTGGCATGCTGATTATATCATTGAATGTTCTAGAAGGTTTGCTGTCACAGTCCTAGGATGTCTACATTTGAACTCCTGCAGCATCCCCTTCCCTCCAGAGTCACATACTCCTCCTCCATCCCCTCTGCTGTTTGAGTGGCTCCTGGTCACAATCTGTTTGCTAATAAGGACATTCTTGTGTGGGCTGCTGTCTGCTGCAGGGCAGTGTCTAAAAGAAGGCAGAGTCCTGTGGCCTCCCCCTCCCTGCCTCTCCTTCTCCCCTGAAGCATCAGGTGCTGCCCAGAAGGCTCATTCGCCTGCAAGCTCCCTCAGATGGACGCCCACAGTGCACCTCATGCCAGATGTGATGCTATGGACCCCTAATCCTCTTCCTTCCCTTGGATGGGGACAGTGTATTTCCTCTCATTCATCCACCCACGGAGAAGATTTCAGATCGGTCTGGAAATAAAAGGCACAGGATGTGAGGTGTCAACACTTAAGCCCTGTCATTCCTCTGGCCGATAACTGCCACACCTCATGGTGTTAGGGTCCCTGTGTCCTATGGTCAGGGGTTCAGTGCACTCCCACAGACACAGCACTGGGCCTAGAATAGCTTAGTCACAACACTTAATTCTCAGAAACCCTCATCTCAGGATTAATTGTCACTTTGCAACAGTGTCACCTTCCAACTCTGAGAACTCTGGTCAAAGTAGGGCCACTTACCCCAGACGAGAAGCCCTGAGTGTTGCTCACCTGTGCCTCCAAGCAGGCTGAGCAGCCCACCGGGGAAGCAGGGACCTGGCTCTTCATGCAGAGAAGGGGGAGCCTCGGGGCAAGGCCCATGCACATGTGCAGCCATTCTGGAACACACGTGTGGTGTTGAAGCGAGGAAACTTGGCAACTGCTCTTCCATCGAGTTCTAGGACAACAGGCCTCTCCAGGCACCAAGTGTGTGAGAAATTATTCCAGAAGGTGCTTTGATTACAGGATGTGTCCGAAGTAGCTTCTGATGCCAATGGAGCCTGAACAGATGGGGGTACAAAGACTGCAACTTGTGGGGTTTGAGAACATAGACATTCTCAGATGAGTCCCTGGGTGGAATCCAAGACCCCCAGACACCACGGTCCTCCTGCTCAAGACCCTCTTGCAGGCTGATCCAGTGCTTACACTTACCCTGCACATATCCTTCCGTGTCCTTTGAGGCCTGTCTAGATTACTTCCTGCCCAGTGGTACCTAAGGGAATGTAAGAGCGGTGCGAAGCATCTTTAGAATGCATTGTTTGGGGACAACAGGAAGGAGTCCGCATGTGTCACAAACTTCCCCTCTGTGGCTGAATCCCTTGATGTGGGATCTGGACACAAAGGGCTGCTTTACAGAGATGACTCTCACAGGCCTCCTCAAGGAGCAAGAGAAGGTTCTCACGGGCTGGCAGTCACAGAAAGGCAGGGGACACTTGGATGCTCATGGAACTAAATCCAGCTGCGGATGTGTCACACATTGCTAGGAGACCTGAGCAGGGCTGCGGTGCTCTTTCTCAGAAAGAAGGAGGTAGTTAAAATTGTATCTTTATGAATCTGATGTGGAAATAATTGCATTGACACCAGGTAAGAAAGTGATTAAACCAAGCATGAAACAAGACACTGAGGGAGTAGGTGTCTGAATTTGAATAAAATCACACCTTTGCAGAAGGTTACCAGACCTGGTCAAGTTTCAGTCACAGACACATCCTGCCAAGGCATGTAAAAAGCACTGGGATTCTGCAGACTGACCAATTCTCCAAAGTCTGAGGATGCAGTCTCTCTCTCGTGCCAGCCTTTCTCTCTCCCTTGTTAGGGAAAGTTGGAGTTCCAGGGCACCTTCCCGAAGTTTGTGATCCTAGATCAGTCGTCACTTGGTTACAACAAACCATTCTCGGAGGATCAGAGCCCCATCTAAATGATTTCAGAATTAGGTCAGCAGTATCACCATTTCTGCCATCATAAAAAATACCCAGATATTTATGGAACTCAAATTTAAAAGATTGGGAAGGAGATGAAAAGTAATGTGACAATGATCTTCAGAGTACAGCTTCAGCCCCAGGAGGGAGCAGCTGCTTCTGTGCCAACCTGAGAAGCAGTTCGTGCTCCTCCAACCTCCTTTTTAATCCCCTTGTCTGCCTGACACCAAGCAGCGGAGGGGGTCTGGTTCAGGGGTTACAAAGCGACTGAGGTTACACAGGCATGAAGCATCTCCAGCTCAGTCAGTCAAAGCACATGGCGCAGGTATAAGTGACAGGTGGTGCCAGGCTCGAAGTGGGTTACCAGGACACAACTTCATCACATGTCAGGAAGCATCTGCTTCTTACAGTGACCTGAAAAGCTAGACTACAAGTATCTTCATTTCACAAGTGAGAAAACTTGGGCTACAAAAGTTCTATAACTTTCATACAGCTAAAAAGAATGCACTGCAGAAGCTAAATCTTCACAATATCTTAAAAAAGCAAAAACATTGCTTGGGTGCTTCTCTAACATTTACCCACATTCACAGAGGCGCTTGGCAGTCAGCACTGAACTCCTACTTCTCAGTGCAGCACTTTATTGCACAGATATACAAGTAATATTAACTTATCTGCAGTTAAACTTAGATTTCACTACTCTGCTTATTAAAAATAACAACTTCATTTTGATTTCCATTACCTAAGGTTTTTTTTGTTTTGTTTTGTTTTGTTTTGGTTTTTTTACCCAGGGACAGAAAATACTGAATGGAATGAGATTTTTAAAAAATCAAATGCGGTTGGGTGTGATCGGGTACATGCAGTAATCGTAGTACTCTGGGAGGCTGAGGCAGGCAGACCAAACATTCATGCCCAGCTCAATCACCTTAGTGATTTAGCAAAATATTCTCTGTCTTTTTACTTTTCTTTTATTGCCAAGACAAAATACTTAACACCAAAAATTAAGGAAGTTTTGTTTAGCTCACAGTTTGTGAAGGTTTCGGTTCATAATCAGCTGGTGTCAAGGCAGGATGGCGTGGCACAGGGGCAACAGTTCAAGACAGCAAAAGCAGCAAGAGCAAAAAAGAGGGTCTTTTACGTAGTAGGTAGGTTACCACACCCTAGGCGTCTATCAAGCATTACACTTCTTCAAAAAAAGGTAAATAGGGCTGGGGATGTAGTTCATTGAGGCCTTGGGTTCAATCCCAGCAGTAAGGGAAAGAAGTCAATGCTTTGCTTGTTAACTATTTAATTGGGGCTTACAGAAGACAATCTGTATGAGGGTGACCAGTCATTCCCACTTGCATCGAGCTGAAAGCTTTTCTCTGGACCATGGTAGGTTTGGGGCCAAATGTGAGACAGTCCTGGTTTTAGGAACAGCAGAAAACACAAGAAACGGTGTCACACAGACTGGCTGTTTCCAGCATGTTTCTGAAAAAGCTTGTGTTTCTTGTTTACCTGAGGAAGATGCAGACAGCAGATTCTGCGACAAAGCCCGGGGTAAGGCAGCCTCCCTGCTCAGAACCGGGGCGATGACATACTCAGGAGAGGGGCTTCTCCTGAGATTCACCCACCATCCACGTCCTGCACCCTTAGGCACCACTGCTTGACTCCTCCATCTTCAAGCAGGGGGCAGGGTTGGTGGGGAGCACAGCTGCCCTGGGGGAACCCTACCAGACCTGTCACAAGTGTTTTGGCTGAGAAGCTAACCCTCTCCTGGTTGCTTCTTCCTGGTCCTAAACTACTGCGCTTGCTAGATTAAAAGCAGTTGGGGTGAGGACACAAAATTTATGGCAACAGCATTTCTCAACATTTGGTTTCCAAGTTTTCCTGGTGTGCCTCAGATCTCCAGCTACTGTGCGGCTGGGTCCTCAGCTCTGCCCTGCACTCTGGTTCTCAGGTAGAGAGTCGTTCCTCAGTGTCCTCAGGCTTTGTATCTGGAGCCACCACTGTTTCACAGAGGCAGGTGACACGAGGGCTTAAGCGGCATCTGGTCCTCTCTGGCTGGCGGACCGACTCACATGGTGCTGGCTACTGAGGAGTGAGGTCCGTTACATCTCACGATAGGCTTAGCTTCCTCGCCTGCTGCTCCAAAGTAGCTCACATGCAGCTGCTCTGGCTCTGTGGGACAATTCATCCTGGGGACTCTGAGATGTGTCTTCCTAGCGTCCTCTCCCCCCCCCCCCGCCACGCTGTCCAGATTCAGTAAGATTATTCCACATGGACCAAGGAGGAGCAGTGAATGCACACCAGGAGCCCCAGACACTCCCAGGATTCATCTGGGAAACAGCCCCAGCCTGTGCTTTGAAAGGGTCATGCTTCACCACAAACCTCAATATGGTACTTAAGAAGTTATTTACCACACAAAAGCTGTAGTTCAGAGAGTCTAGACAAATTAAAGCACCATGCCATGATGCAGGAAAAGTAAGAAGTTATTTCAGAACAGAACTAATCTGTAAATGAGAGCTCTAGCTTGCAGTGTTGGTATCATTTAGCTGTTAAAACTCACTGGGCTGGGGATATAGTTCAGCGACACAGTGCCTGCCTGGCAAGCACAAGGTCCTGAGTTCGATTCTCACACTCTGTGTTTCTAAGAATTTTTTCTATTGGACAGTTTATTTCAATAGCTTACTATGTTTTCACATTTTTTCCATCAAAGAACATTCTGTGTTGCTATGTTATTTTATTAAGAAAGTTTCCAGTATGCATGCTCTAGTAAGCCAGAGTGGCCAGCTGGGTAGTCAGACCTGATTCTTGTTCCTTTGTATAAGTGGGGGCAAGTGGTGTCATCAGGGGTGGTGCTACACATTGGTGCAGCCTCACGTTAACCAGGGGAGGCATGAGATGTGCAGATGGCGAGGGTCTGCCTTCCCCCAGAAAGTCACACCAGAGGCTCTCTAATTCCTGCTTCCAAGCAGGCACACGATGGGAATAACACTTTCATTCTGCCACAAAATCAACTTCCTTCCTTGGTGTAAGATTCCAATTTTGCCCTCAGGAAACATATGGAGTGATCTGAACTAATCATGTTTGAGGATATAGGTAAAGGATTCATCAGAGCTCAGCACAATGTGGAGTTTAAGTTCTCTATTTCTTATGGTGTGAGGCAGGAGGTAAGGCTTATTTATTTTTCTAGACCCATTTTTTATGTTCTGTTTTGTTCTGAGACAGTTCTATTTAGTTCAAGCTGACCTTGAACTCACCGTGTAGCCCAGGCTGGCCCCTAACTCCCAACGATCCTCCTGCCTCAGCCTCCCATGTGCTGGAATTACAGGTGTGCACCGCCACACCTGACTAGATTCATTTGTTGAAGTGATTGTTCTTTTCCTATTGAATTGCTTTTCTTTGCTTAACTAAATTTCTTGATTGTAGAAAATCAGTTGAGTCTGTATGTATGGTTTTGTTTCCCCAACTCTCTAATCTGTTCCATTCATCTTTTGCCTCTATTAATGATAATTCCACATACTTAAATTATTGTGCCTTTAGAATAAGACATAGAATATGAATTGATCACCTTGTTGTATAGTCATAGTGTGAGTTTGTACAAATGGTCTTTTTTGTCTTATTAAGAATTTTGCCTTATTCAGAATTGACATCTTAACAATATTGTGTCAGCTGAACATTTTCTTGGTTAGTTTATGAACCTAGCAAGGGTCACAGTTTTCAGTTTAGAGGTCTCCCATGACTTTTTAAGTTTATTATGAAATGTTCTGCATACTTGCTACTATGATTGTAAAATATTTGTTATTTTCTACAAGTATATAAAAATAAAATTAACTTTTTTATATTTTGACCTTGGAGTCTATGACCTTTCTAAATTTGTGTGCTAATTCTGGTAGTTTTTGTGAATAGATCCTGTAGGAATTTCCATTAACAATCATGCCACCTGAGAATTGAGATGCTTTTGATTTTTAATGTTTATGTTATTTTACTTCCTTTCCTTGCTCCACTGCTGGGTTTCTCCGTCTTGCACCCTTGACAGTTTGAGCCCAATCTGAAAAAGATGTTGAGAGACGTCCCTGGCCTTTACGCACTGGATCTCAGTGGCAGCTGCCCCCTCCCAGAGTCATGCACGCAGTAAGGTGTCTCCAGGAGTTGCGCAGTGTCTCTTGGGAAAATTGCCAACTTGCGAACCACTGCCTTGTTGCTGGGCCGAACCGGAGAAGAGATACGGAGGCAAAAGACAGTCAGGGACTGAAGACCAGGGCGGCCAGTGTGATGGGACCAACAATGTCAGACAAGCCCATGGCGACACGGGCCTGCGGAACGTCCAGGCCGTTCCAGACAGGATCTGGAGATTCTCTTCTTCAGTGCATGGCTTCAAACTTCTCTTCCTCTTTCCGTATCTTTGTTTCTTTCTCTCATGTCTTTCTGTATATGAAAGCAGAGTCTTTTCTCCAAATTAAACACTACGTGGCTGAGCAGTCTTGAAAGCAGATGAAACCCGCGGCATTGCCCTAAGATGTGTGCTGGGAAGAAGAACAAGAACCCTGCGTGGACTCTTCTAGCGCTGCCTCCTGGAAATGTATGCAGAGATAATGGGACCAAGTAGACTTTTTCTAAGAAATGACGTCTCACTGTGTTGCCAGACTTGACTCAAGTGACTCTCCTGCCTCAGCCTTCAACTTATAGGCACATGCCACCTCACCAGGCAAGTCGATGGGTCTTGGAACTGAGAGGACCAGGCCTCTCCCAGCTCTAAGGAGAATCATTTAGCCTCTCCAGTCCTCGCCATCTCCTTTGTAACACTGAGGTAATCATGATTTCAAAAAAGATTTTTGGAGTTAGAAACAAAGTGCTGGGCACAGTGCCTGGTCTGTGATTCGTGATCATGACCTTTATAGGGGAAAGAGCAGGTGCTGCCAGAGTCCAGTCCCACATTCCTAAGTGTATTAGGAGATCTGTGTTGGGGTCGATCTTAGTTGACTCCAGCATGAGGTCCAGCGACCTCTAACCCTCTGTGGCCACCGCTAAGAGCAACAGCTCTTGCCTGGCACCCCACCAACCCTGCATTTCTGCGAAAAACTCTCTGTCCTGGTGCTCCTGTGTCTGAGCAGCCCTATTGGATAGTTCTTCTCTGCAGGCTTCTGCTTGGGAGAGCTGCACTGCTTTGAGACTTGGATCTTGGGGGCCGAACTAGGCCTTTGCTCCAGTTTGGAGCTCCAGGGCAGCAGCTGGCTGCGCTCTTTGCCAAAGCCTCCCTATGTGCCATCTTACATATCAAACATCTGAATTTGGCAGAGCTGTGGCACGCTCTCTGGGGAGAGCCATACTTCATGAGAACATGAGTTTATTTAACATTCACTTATTCATTGCAGCAAATAAATGCATAGCTCAGTGTCACCACAGCCTGGGCTGAGCAGCACGCAGTGGGATGAGTCACCAGACCAGCTTGCTAACCAAATGACATATAAGTGGGAAGCTGTGTTTGCATGCATATTTACACATGCATACACACATGAACATGAAAGTTTAATGTGGAAAATCAAAGTCAACCCCTAAACGTGTTTGTCTTTTCAGGCTGACTCTAGCGGCTCTGCCAGCGCCATCTGGTCCAGAGCACAAGGTCTGCTTAACAGAAATAGGCAGCTGCCAGCCTGGACTCAATGTGCTCTTTCAGCTCTCTCCAGGATGACCTGATGTGACCATCCTTTCTAGGTAAAAAGGATTCTATCCTCATTTGACAATAAATCCTCAACCTGAGGAAAGAGCAGCCACATCAATCTGGGTGACTCTAAATCCTGGGAGTTGGACTGTGAGTTAACACCACCAGGCAAGGGCCAGCATGCTGATGGCCAGAAGGGTGAGCTGAGGTGAGCTGGGCTTGAGGTCTGATTGTTTGTGATCAGTGTTCCAGTGTGAGGCATGAGGACAGATGATAGTTCTGAAATACTGATAAATGTTGATCTCCCTGGTGTTTTGGGGTACAGGGAAACACCATGGCTTATCTCTAAAAGGGGTTACCAGCAGGAAGAAATTCCTGGCTGGTGGCTGAAAAGATACGCAAGTGAAATTTACTGAGATCTAGGTTTCTACCCTTGAAGACTTGAAATAAAAATCAACGTTGCTATAGGAAAAAAATTAAAAACATTTAACACACATTATATTGTAGAATGAGAGTTGCAGTTGCCTTGGATATGTTCTGGAGATTTGATTTGAAATGAGAGTAGCTTAATGGTTACTAATAACAGTAAGTACAAGATCATTTTAAGACATCTGAGAAATTCAAAGTGCTTAAAAGAATCATTTATAACATTTGTGACCATTGTGAAGTCTTTCTTCTTTAAAAAATGAGGTTATCTGTGTATAAATTTATTTATCTGTTACTGCTTTGACAACATTGTATTAGGAATGCTTCATTACGATATACTTGAATGTCGTTTAAAGAATTTAAAGTGATCTGTGCTTTATTGTAGAACTGACATATTCATTGTAGAGAATTTAGAAAATGATGTCAAACAAAGAGAAAATTTTTAAAAAGATTATCCTACAGACAACATGGCTGAATAAAAGAGGAGCCTCATTCAGAGTTACTCAGAGAAATTCACCTAAAATACAGGTAACTGAAAGAAAAAGGAGGAACACTCACCCTGAAACCAAATCATTATAACACAAGAGACTAATAGATCAAGCCAAACATGCATAAAGGGCTTAGGAAAATGGTCAGCCTGCCTGCCCGGCGGCCAGATTGCCACAACTGCCTTCCATACTTGGAATCTGAAGAAGGAGGAGGAGGAGGAGGAAGAGGAAGAGGAAGAGGAAGAGGAAGAGGAAGAGGAAGAGGAAGAGGAAGAAAGGGTATATTAAAGTCGTGTGGCTAAATCAAGCCACGCAGGATAGACTTGGGATATAAGGTTCCCTGCCTCCTCCTCTCTTCCAAACAGGGACCCCTACAGTCCAGCAGTAAACTCTGATCCCTGATGATCAGCCAGTTTTCTTTTTTTTATTCAGTTTTTTTCCTTTCCATTTTTTCTCTTTCTTTTCTTCCCTTTCTTTTTGTGCACCAGAGTGCTAACTGGAACCACCAGGAGCACCATCAAAGACTCTAGGGGTGCATAGTAAGTGGCACAGTTGCTCCCTATGATCTGCAGATAGAGAAGCACAAGGCATTACACACCTTGCACCTCAGGACTGCGCAGCCCAGAGCTGTCCCAATGCCACCAGTGATGGGAGCAGAAAGGCACCCACTTGCCCAGAAAGTTACAGACTGCGTCAGAGGGAGGGGAAGGTGGCGGGGAACTTGTAAAGCAATGAGTGAGAAGTCAGCTGCCACCACAGGAGAGGAAGAAGAATTGGGACTGAGCGGCCTGGAACTGCAATAGCAGGACCAGAGAGAGGACCAACCGTGTCACAGCATCCCAGTGGAAGCAAAAGGCTTGAGAGGACAGAGAACTGTCAGGGGAGAAGAACACAGCAGGCTGGGAAGGGCTGGGAGGAGCCGAAGGCACAGAACTGGGGACAGCCGTCTCCCTTTGAAAACAGCCCTGGAACAGGGGGAGAAAAACAGGGTCACTAGGGGAGGCCACTCGGGAGCGCACAGAGCATGGCTGGTGACTCCGGTTCCAGGACCCCGCGTCGGGAAGCCAAGAACGGCCTCACAGTCAGCACAAGTCCTACCGTACTGGAAGTATTATCCGGTAGTTTTGGACTCGCAGTGGACACCAGGGGAATTTTAAAATTTTTCCTTTAATTGTTTCTCCTCCTCCTCCTCCTCCTCCTCCTTTTTATGTTTTGCTGGTTTGTTTCCCATTCCTTTTCCTTTATTTTATTTCTCAGCTATTTTTTTTCTGATCTAGTCATCTTCTTTTCCCCTTTCCTTTATTTACCTCTTGTTTGGGTCAACCGTAAAAACCCCTGCTTACAGCTTCATTCTCTCTCTTCTGTCCTCTTCTCTAGTTTCCCAAGGTTTGCATGCATGATCATCCTTCATCCTCCAGCCTGGTTTCTACTTTATTTTCTTTCTATTTTCTCTGTTCTATCCATTATCCTTCTTAAATTTCCTGATCACAAATTAAAACCACTCTACCAAGGGGAAATACTTTGTATATAGGATTCCAATTTATAATCAGTTCTGTTGTATAACTGTAGATTTTGCTCCTATGGTTAAAGGTACAAAACTAATAGTTAACACAGTTCATCGGTTTCTAAACTGTGCATGATGATATTGTTATTGCTAATTATACTGCCTTAGCTTGGATGTCATATCTGATTTAATCAGTTGTTTTCACTTCTATGACAAGACTGGAAAATTCTGGAATAATAACTTCACCACACCCTTGCACCAAAGCTCTGGGAGTTGAGCCAAGCAGATATCAACATCACACTCTTAATTAATTGGAAATGTAAGATCTTGAAACACAACCACAACCTACTACACACAGAAAACATCCCTGAAGCACAAACCTTATCGAGAGAGGCCTTGATATTAGTGATAAACCTGCCTACTACAAAACTTACAAGAATTAAAACAGAAACCAAAATAAAGAGTAGGAAAAACCCAAAGTCTGACCAACGCAGGAAATTATAAAAATAAGAGCAGAAATTAACATAATGGAGTCCAAAAAAACACAAAAAATTAATGAATCGAAGAGTTGGTTTTTTGAAAGAATAAATAAAACTGATAAACCCTTAGCCAATCTTACAAAGAAAACCAAAGAAGACTCAAAATCATGCAATGAGGAATGAAAATGGTAAAATCACAATAGATACTATGATAATTCAAAAGATCATCAATATCCAAAAATCTTTACTCTTAGGACATAAAACACAGAAGAAATGGTTAGATTCTTATCTATGTATGAATTACCAAAGCTGAATTGAGCAGATATGAAAATTTTGAATAACACAATATCAATTAATGAGATTGAAATTTACCATGAAAGAAAAGCCCTGGTCCTGACAGATTCACTACTGAATTCTACAAGAAATTTAGAGAATATTTAATGCCAGTACTCCTCAAACTCTTCAATGAAATTGAAAGAGAAGCAACTTTTCCTAACTCATTCTTGGAGGCAACTATTACCCTGATGTGAAAACCAGAGCAAGACTCAACCAAGAAAGAGAGCTATAGATCAGTCTCTCTAATGAACATAGATGAAAAAATTCTCAATAAGATATTAGCAGACAGAATACAAAAAATCATCAAGAAGATTATATACTATGACCAAGTGGGATTCACCCGAAATGCAGGATTGGTTCAACATATGCAAATCAGTAAAGGTAACACACCGTATCGACAGGCTCAAAGACAAAATTCATATGATCATTTCAATGTACACAGAAAAAGCTTTTGACAAAGTCCAACATTCATTCATGATTTTAAAAAAACCTACAGAAAATCAGCTATATGGTATTTATCTTAATCTGCTAAAAGCTGTCTATGACAAACCAACAGCCAACATTATATTAAATGGACAAAAACTGAAAGCTTTTACTCTAAAATCAGGAACAAGATAAGGATGTCCACTGTCATTGCTTCTATTCAATGTAATTCTAGAAACATCAGCAAGAGCAATTAGATAAGAGAAAGAAATAAAAGGAATAGGGTAGGAAAGGAAGAAGTTAAATTATCATTATTTGCAGATGATGTGATACTCTGCATAGAAAACCCTCAAAACTCCATTGAAAGACTTGTAGATGGAATGACCAAATTCAGTAGCATAACTGAATACAAAGTCAACACTCAAAACTCACAGCATTCCTGCACACAAACAACAAACTCACTAAGAGAGAAATTAGAGAAACCACATCCATCGCAATAGCATCCAAAAAAATGAAATACTTAGTATTCACTCTAACAAAGGAAGTAAAAGATCTATGTATTGAAATTTAAAGTACTCTAAAAAAGGACATTGGAGAGGATATCAGAAAATGAAAAGATACAACTTGCTCATGGGTAGAAAGAACCAACATTATGTGGCTATGCTCCCAAAATTATTATACAGATTTAATGCAATTCCAATCAAAATACATTAGCCTACCTCACAGTACTAGAGAAAACATTCATAAAATTGATTTGAAACAAAAGAGACCTAGAATAGCAAAAGCAATCCTGAGCAGCAAAGGCAAAGCACGCAGCATCACGATCTCTGACTTGAAACTATACTACAAAGCTACTGTGATAAAATCAGCAAGGTAATGGCAAAAAAAAAAAAAGACACGTTAGAAGATGCAAACACAACTAAAATTACACTCAGCCATCTTATTATTGACAAAGGACTCAAACATGTTCACTGGAAGAATGATAACTTTAATAAATAGTGCTTGAAAAATTGATTCTCTACATGTCAAAGACTAAAACTAGACCCATGTCTATTGCCATGCACTAAATTAAAGTCAAAATGGATCAAAGATCTAAATATTAAAATAGAAACACTAACTTTACTGGAAAAGAAAGTTGATAGAAATCTTGAAGACATTAGTGTAGGTAGAGAACCCATGAACAAAACCCAGACTGCATGGAAAATATTTCAAATAATCATCAACTGGAATCTGATCTTATTAAAAAGCTTTTGCACAGCAAAAGAAATCACCAGTAAATGAAAAGATGACTCACAGATTGGAGAACAATTTTAGCCGATTATCCCTCAGACAAAGTAATTCTATCTTGAACAAATAGAGTTCAAAAAGCTTAGATCTCCACATTTGAAGACCCAATCCAAACATGGGCATCTGAGATGAATACACATGTCTCAGATGAAGAAATACAAATGACAAGTAAATACACAAAAAATTTTCAGTGTCACTGGTCACTTGAGAGATGCAAATTAAAACAACACTGAGTTTCCACCTCAGCCCAGAAGAATGGCCAACACCAAGGAATCAACCATTAACACATGCTTGAGTGCCCTGGAGGATAAAGGAACCCATCTTCCTTGTTGGTGGGAGTAAAGGCTGGTGCAATCACTGCAGAAATTAGTGTGGAGATCCCTCAAAAAACTAGGATTAGGGGTCCACTTTGCTATTTCCCTTTGGATATCTTCCTAGAAGAATTAAAAACATCATGTCACAGAAATTTATGTGCACCCATGTTTATAGTGGCACAATTTATAATAGCTAAATCCTGGAAATAACCCAAATGTTAAATGAATATAAAAAATGTGGTATTTTTATACTCAGCCATAAAGAAGGATAAATTTGAAACTTTTATAGGGAAAGGGATGCATACTCGCAAGGGAAATAAATCAGACTCACATATGTGAACATCCTAGTTTCTCTGTGGTGTGAGAAACCAAAAGAGTAAATAAGGTTTAAAATGTACTAGATATTGTGAATTGGGAAGTCACTGCTCAAATTGAAAGAGAAGCTAAAATGGGGGAAAGGAGAACGGACAGTACGGAAAAGGGAAAAAATGCAAATCAGTTACACTATTACTGTATTTTAGTTCATTAAAAAGGAAAGTTTGTGCTAATGTTGATTGGAGAAATTTTATGCCCGTATCTTGTAACCTATGCTACTTTAAAGATAATATGTAATGTAATGTATTAACTATTGTTATTCTCTCATTATTTTGGTGTGAGATTTTGTTTTACCTTTTTCCACATAATATAGAAAAGATTGTCCTAATCACATGGAGATAACGACTGTTAATGTAGTTAGCTCTGAATCATATGCAAATGTCTTGCCTCTGACAACTTCCTTCTCTTTATCTTAAAGTGGAAGTAATCATAGTGTCTTCCTCATGTGGCTGTTTTATTTCCTGTATATATAAAATATTTTCCACAGTGACTTGCGTATCATTAAAGCATATTTACAATTTTTTACTAATTTTAAAACAAAGTGGCATCAGTCTCTATGTTGCTGTTTACCTGGTGTTTTCCTGTTGCACAGTGTTTGGGGGTCACGTTCTTTACTGTGGTGATGGTATATTTCCATCATCTATACTTTAGTTAACACTTGTGCTGCTTGTTAGGATCCAGCTGTCCAGGGAAATGAGACCATGTTAAGAGTGATAAAGTCTATATTTCTAATTCTCTTTCAACGTTCTTTTGTCAGACTTCTGGCTCTCTTTCAAGAGTTTTCTTCTCATTCCTAGAAACCCCAAAGGACTTGTCCATTCAGTAAATGAACAAATCTTGAGCAGCGCCAGGTGCCAGGCAGCGATCTGGAGATGCCACAGGGAGGGGAAGGTGACTCAGTGGCTGCTCTCTTGGCTTCTCCCATCTTAGAGGAAAAGCCAGGTCCACCTAAAGCAATCACCTGGACACTCAGGGAGGACAGGCGAGATGCTGTCAGAACTAGTGAGGGCCTGACCCACCAGGGCTCTCAGAGGGCCCTGCAAAGGCTTCCAGCAGACCTGGGGAGGGTTCAAAAGGGAGCAGACATTTCTGGCCGAGTGGCAGGTGCTTGAGGATGTGGGGAGATGTACAACAAGGAAAAAGCGTGTGCCGGCTGTGCTGGTAGCACACCACACCTCACTACAAGTGTAAGATTTGTGATTCAAGAGTGGTGCGGCCAGAAAGCCAAGAAACAGTTGTCACTGAAAGGAGAAATTTTTCTTCCTCCCAAGAGGAGGTCACACAACAGTGGAGAAGCCATGTCAGGGAGCTCCAGGGCCCACCAGGGCGCAGACGGGTGAGGGAAGTGTGCAGAGCCCCCTTTCCATGGGAAGGACTTGGCACGTCTTGGAGGAAGGCAGCCTTGCCATCCAGGATGTGCTGAGCATCCCAGTGACGTGATGGCTTCCAGTACAGCCACATCAGTGATGCTCAGGGACACTTGTTTAAGTGTCCATGTCCCAGAGGGAGTGGGGCCATCAGTTAAGCTGGCTGTGACCCTCACAAAAGGATTTTTCACTAATGATGCTGCAGCAGACATATTGTATGCATTATTTTTATAATTTCAATGTCAGCCTCATGAAATGTCTTGTTTTTCTTCTTCTTGTCTGAGGAATGGAGGCTGAGAAGCATGATTAATTTGAGCAACAGATATCAGTCAGGGTAATGACATTGGTGGAGGACATTAACTGGTACTGCTTGTGGTCTCACTGAGCCTAATACTAGCCATGAATTTCATAGAAAACAGAAGATTCATCGTGCATAGATCTATTTCTGCTCTCAAACAAATTTCCAACCCTCAGGCGCTGGGTCCATCCCCAACCTTGGAGTATCTACTGTACGCTCAAACTTTTTGTGGTTTGAAAAAAACATTCTAGCCTTCTGTATTGTTTGGTGGTGTTTTCCACTGTGCCCTTATTCTATTATAAAATAAGACCTCTCTTGCTAAACAACCTTCGGTAAGGACATAGCCTTGTGAACACGGTAAAGAGCAACTATGACTGCAGATGTAACGGCAGCAGTGAGGGGGACAGCAAAGTGCAATGGCCACCCCTTCCCGGAAGCACCAACAGGACCAGCCGTTCACTCATGGAAACACGCTCAGAGGAGCAAAGAACCAGATGAGGGACCACAGCGCCTACAGGGGCACGAAGAGGGTAAGAGAGAGCGCTTCACACTGCCTGTGCCATTCGGCCCCAGCCTGCCACCACAGTGTGGAAAGAGATGCTCTCCCCCAGCGGAGGGAGGCTGAGTAAACACCGGGCTGCCCACCAACCGTGTCTGGAAGTCCAATG